AGTAGTTTTATTTTTGAAAATTGAAGCATGTAATCAGCCTTACAAAAATTAATATATATTTTATATTAATAAAATAAAAGCTAGAGTATTACATCACCTTATACAAAGAATATTACTACAGATAAAATTGTTCACTTCTCTAAGAGCAGGTAAAATGAGAGAAGGCTGTATAAAGGTAACAGGTCATGAATTGCTTAAATGATTTTGTCTTCCGAATCTATTCTTTGTTACTGTTTGGGGTGAGACCATATATTTAATGAACTACTGAGCATTCTCAACCCTGAAAGTTTCATTCCTAAAAGGCTTTTAGTCAATTCCATCATGGCTACAGGTATAACAAGTCATAAGGGCATTATTGGCCAGTGATTACCAGGTCATCGCCCATTGCCAGGGCAGGCAAAATTCATATATGATAATTTATTACAATGGATCTATCCAAACTTCAGCTTCTTGACATAATTACATCCTTAATTAAACCCATGCTTAATTTAGTCAAAGAAACTGAGTAATTAATTGTCATTATTTAATAGGGGCACTCTATAAATATATTTCAATATGCCGTGTTTGGCTAACTTGACTAAGATGGTGATCACAGTGTGGAATATATAAAAAAAAATGTCAATCATTCCATATCAAAAAATAAACAAATTAATAAAAAGACAAATTTCTTGGAAGTTGAAAACTTGGCCTGAGAGTCTTTGGACTAAGGCAAGATCAATTAAAAATATTCTTTTGTGATTTTCTGAGAAAGTAAGGAAAAACATGCCTAAATATGTGTGTTTTATATATATATATATATATATATGTATAAACAAATGTATGTCAGCAAAATAGCAGTTTTTCCATGCCTTTGTAAATTTTCTTTGTTGAATTCATTCCTCTTGGCTTTTCTTTCTTATTCCTTAATTCAACATTTGATACAAGAAGGAATGTTGCACTTTAAGTAGGAACTGTTAATCAAACAATGAAGCACTAAATATATACAAAATCATAACTGTGATTCTACAAAGAAAAGATATATGAATAAATAAGTGAGGCTCAACCTAGTCTCAACCATTCATGAATAACATCAATGAAAAACTGATATTGTAACACAGATCTAAATGATTAGTATAAGTTAACCAGGCACAAAGAAACAAAGATTCCAAGCTGAAAGAACAAAATCATAAAACTCAAGGAATGCAAGCAAGAGATTTTCTTTTGAGAAACTGAGCAAAACGTGTAGTTAGCACATAGGAGAAGACAAGAAGCAAAAATATAAAAATAAGGGCAAACCCATGCAGGGTATTCAGGTAAAAAGACAACAATATTGTCTTAAAGGTCACAGCTACAGTATGTAAAGTATGGTAGAAGAGGAGATGATCTATGCTCACAATAGTAAGATTTGTATTCTCATATATTTTTTACATCCACAATGTTCAAATCAAAATTGTATTTCAATATACTGGTTATATTTAAAAACAAAATTCCAAAGCAATCTAATTAGATTAAAAAGTTCCAACCAAATCTAATTAGATTGTAGGAAAGGGAAAGGGAGAAAAGTGACTGATTCGGACAGATAGTTGAGTAGTAATTTCTAGGAAGACTTTGTGATGGGTTAGAACTGGTTTCTAAGTAGGAAGGAAATGTCAGAATCAGTCCCAGACTTCTGGCCTAATAGGATTATTATAGAACTTAAGACTTGAGGACTCACTTACACCACCATCTCATGCTCCACATGACATGTGGATAGAAAGGCATCAGGAATATCTACATTTTTAAGTCTCTAAAGAAAACACTTAAAATTAAATTTTTCATGTGATGACTTGGCCATTCAATGCGGTAAGTTATTTATACTATTAACATTTGAAAATTTCCATAAGTGGTCACATAACATTGCATATTCTAAAACACCAACAGGCACTATTTATATGGAATTTCCTATGCAGAATACACAGACCAGTACAGTCTGCACAGTCAAGGCCCTGAATATATTCTCCTCACTGTCACAGAAGGGTAAAAAATTACACAACTTAAGATGGAGCAACTTAATTTTTTCTATAGTAAGACCTCTCGAGTTTACCCCACTCTCTCTAATTTAGGCTTCCACTCAACTAAGAGTGTGAGGGGTAAATGAAAATGAGATGAATGGCAAATTCCTGCACCAAAAAATACTCAGTCAGAAACACAACCTTGAGATACTGTATTTCCATGGTAAGTACTAACTGAATGCTTACATCTCCTCAATAATCAAAATTTATCCTCTAAAAATCAAGGTTCTTTTTTAATAATCTCTGTCAAAATGAAGGAAGACAAAGGCCATTGTGAGTAAACCAAAACCATCAAACAGTCCCGATAACAATGCAAATTATCAATCAAGTAGAGGGTGTTGCTTTAAATGACATTAAACTTATTTTTTTGTTTAGAAACTGTTAGATTCTATAGTGATTTACAATGGAATATCATGTGGAGATTTTATTCAACTGATTTTTCTTACCTAACAGTACATATGACCTCATAATAAACTAGTATAATTCTTCAAAAGGAAAATGAAACATATTAGTTAGCCCGTTCCCATAAATCCAATCCTAACCAAACTTTAATTCATTTTCCCAATAAACTTAGCAGTATTTAGAAAGACAGTTACCATTTGACAACATTTGTATTAGTTGTGTGTGTGTGTGTGTGTTTCATCTGTCTGTCTGTCTGTCTCATTGTAGTTCAAGAATAGTTTACCTTTAAAAACAAAGAAAAATTCATCATAGGTACTATTGTGAAGGATATAAAATAAGGGCCCACACTGAATAAGGAAACTTAAATCCATGCAAGAGTTTCTAAGAAAGTATGCCCTCTCACTATGACAAACAGGTAACTGATGCAGTTCTGTCTCCCTGGATCTTTGACCAATTTAAAATAAACTCAAAACAACTAGCTAGTTTGATACATATAAGTAGGATTTAGGGAACAAAATTCCATCTGAAGCCAATATCTGGGGCTAAGTGTATGCTTAGTCTTGGGTTTCCCCATCTATTAATATACATGAACCCTTCATTACCCACTTAGAATGGACACATTATGGTGAAAATGACTTGAAGTCCATAGGAAAACATTTTTTTTTCAAAGAAAAGAATGTCTTTTCTTCCTCATAAGCTGTTTAGTTTGACATTAAGTACTATCCTGTTACCAAAAGCCATTGATAAATATCCAAGTCTGAAAGGGCAACTCACCATACTGTAGACAAAAATGAGAACATTTTCAAATGAACAGGGAAGCATGCATGATCAAGTGTCAATTTAAAAGAAAAATTGTAAAAAATATTTCCTACTGGAAATTGGTTTGAAATGGACTTTCTGTATTGGTTCTATCTCCGGACAGCTATTCTCATGGGCACTGCTTATTATGCATTTAAAATTGATCTATAAATTTCAAAACATAAGCATATAATTGCAACACCATGTAAACAACATAGTAAGCTAAGTCCTGTGAGATGACAAATGTTTTTCTGAGACGTTAATATGGCTGAACTTATTTTCAAAGATTTTTAAATGGCAGCTTAAAGCATGCCAGAAAGAGATCTATTCTAAGATTTTTGTTTTAAGTTCTACACAGCAAAAAGAACTAGTAGAAAACAAGTTTGTGGAAAGAAAGCCTCAGTGGTATACAGACAAAATATATACAATGAGAGATATTAAACCATTGTTTTGCGCTGTTGAAAATAAAACTTCGGAGAGCTATGTGAATATGAAATATTCTACTGCAAGTCAGACACTGAGTATTAATTATGTACACCATATAAAATAGCACATTAAATCTTTCATCATTGCCAGATATTTTGAAATTCAGAGAAGAGAAAAATCAAACTTGAAGAGAAATAATCTCCATAAATTAGCAAAGTAAAAGGTCACTTGCTCGTAATCACTGGAGGAAATACATATACATGATCCAAGTCAAAGCACAAGTCTTTGCAGATCCATAAGCAAATGCTTACCTTGACAGGTGCCATTTTTCTCTTCATATCCTGCCTTACACATGCATTTCCCGATGGGAACCAGCCACTCCCCTTCAGCACTGCAGTGCATTTTAGGAGGATCATCTGTCACAGAATGGTTGACACAGGAGCCTGACACCTCTAGCAACTGTGAAGAATCTGCTCCAGTGATGGTGTCAGGGAAGACAGCCAAGTGTCTAACCACAGAAGGACATTTTTTATAGTACACACGCACAGAAACCAGAGCAATGCAAGCACCAACATCTTGGAAAGCAAGATAAAATCCTTTCTTGCTTAGGGGTCCTACATCTCTGACCTCTGTATTCAGTTTCATCACGCGGTCACCAAGATCGAGTTCTGTGAAGCTCTCATCAGCAGCAATGGTATCAATTTTGATGTACTGGTTTTCTTTAATGTTTCTCCCATTCTCATCATCTGACTCAAAGTAATACATGTTGAACGTTTCCTTACAGGTCCCCAGTCCTCCAGGAAGACTATTACAATCACGTAGAGTAAATTTGAGTTCGATGAAGATTCTGGAAGCACCTTCATTGGAAATCCAACTGGTCAAAAGCCAATTATTCTGATTTTGTTCCATAACTTTGCATACTTGGTATGTGTGGATGGGGGCATAATTTTCATCAACTTCACCAATCTCTTCCCACTGTAGAGGATAGAGTTGAAAGATGAAAAACTTTTAATTTTTTTTAAAAAGCATAAAGTAACTAGGAAAACCACCAAAAATCAAATAAAAACTAATTTATTTAAACAACTCTATGTAATTTTCGTAGATTCTGAAATATAGTATATAACATAAAAACAGCAGTTTTCTATTGTCCCATTCTATCAATTAACTGCTTGCATATTATGCAACAAATGATTTAAAAATCATTTCCTTATTATAAATGATTCCTGAATGACATGATTAATATTTCATGCAAAGGAACAAAAACAGTTAAAAAAGTCAGTTTTCCATGATACAATCGATTAAAAGTATTTGCTTTGTGTTAGTAAAAGAGAAAGTAGCATTAACGAAAAATAAAAATAAAATGCTAAATAACTTTTATTTAAATGTTTATTTTACTTTCTTATTATCTTTCAAAAAAGCACAACTGGCTTTTAAATAGTTTTCCTTAAAACACTCACAGAAGACTTGTTTCAATATCATGTATTGCCACAGAGTCCCGTAGGATCCTCTTACAAAGAAAAAAGCAGAATAGCAGTATCCTCCAACATTAAACATAAGGGAGAAACAGCTCTTGTACACAGTTTGTACACAGGTGTACACAGTTTAAGGTAGCACAGATATTAAATATTTAAGCTAAGCATTATTTGATAAGATATCATAGTACTTAGTGCTTCAGGTGGTGTTATCAAAGCAGTGTGTAAACATCTTGCTGTTTTGAATTATTGTAATTAATGAAAGGAAAAATTTAGAATCTATTCTGGTAAAATTTTTATTTTTTTTCAAGAATAGAAATGAAGGCTCACAATATATTTCCAGTTTATAAGCAGAAATTATTTAAATAACTTTAGCAAAACACCATCCAATAGATAATATAGAAATTTCCCGTGTCCATGCTCACATAAATATATTAAGGAGCAATAAATTATTTTGTTTATTTTAGATTATAGGAAAAAACATACTGAACATACTGATTTTTTTTTCTCTTTTTGTCTTTTTTGAGTCAGGGTGCCCCAGTATTCCCAGCCAGCCCGGAACTCTCTTTGTAGATGAGGCTGGCCTTGAACTCACATTGATCAGCCTATTTCTGCCTCTTGAGTGCTGGGATTAAAGGCATGTACTACCATGCCCTGTCTCATTTGACATTTCTTAGGATAAAGAATTGATCTTGCTGTTTTCAGCAAAAATCAGAGATGAAGAAGAAACAAGAAGGAAAAAATATAAAATAACACTCACCAAGAACTTAGGGACCTGCCAGGTATTTCCTAGATACTTTTACACATGCCGTATCAAGGAGATTGTAATAACTTAATGAAGGATAGAGATAGAAAATATTCTCTGCTCCTTTTTGCCAGATTTCATATGATTCTGTGTTTTATAAATCTATTTTGTGATTCTTGCATTTTTCCCAGTGACTACTACAGGCACTTGGGAAGTGCTGGCCACTGAATGTTATTAAAGTGGACATAAGTAAGCTTTTTCAGGGCCCTAGGGTCCACAGTCTGAACCCATACTGTCCTCCCTTTACTCTTTATTTCTTTACCATTTACCTTAAAAATTAAGAAAAATTAAGGCCTGATTACTCAGACAACTTAGATTGGTATGACATCTCTCAAAACACTTGCTCACATTTTTTTTTTAACTTTCCCCTGGCTGTGAAACTCCTGGGCAGGAGTATTTTTACTCACACGTGCTCAGGTATCCCATGTCAGTCACATTAAGTGAGTCACTGCTCCATAAATGTGTCATGGAATTAACATCTTTCTCCCTAAACCATAAGAAGGACTTTTCTTCCTGCCTGCTCTCATTGCTCTTTTTAAAAAGCCTCTTCTTGTCTGGAGCATGCACCATCTCCTCCCTCTTCAGCATGGCTTCATTTATAATCTACCAGTAAATATATATTACTTAGTTCTCCTTCTGTACTTCAAAATATTGACTCAAGACACACAGTTTAGACTCTAATCTCCTTTTAGATTGTGTTCCCAAATCCATCGTAAGGAGCATTGTGTAAACCAAATTGATTCTGACCTTTATGCTATCAGGGGTTATAAATCATCCAGTTCAGGTTTTCATTATTTTTTTTTCTATTTATCTTCTTTCTACATCAAGAGATTAATCAGTTGAGGTTAAGGTAGAGAAGTAAGAAACTTTGTTGAACATTCCTGAATAAAGATAACTTGACCTTCTTCTCTCAGAGAAAGGATTCTGCCTGGAACTTCAAGTTTAGTCCCAAATCTTAAACATACAATCTGTGGGGAATCTGTGGCAGAACAGCTTTGAGATCTGAAACGAGAACTGAAGCTCTCTAGTACAGTCACCTAATACAGAAACAGTCTTAAAATCTGGTTAGGCAAACCATTTCAGAAATAAAAAATTGAAGATCAGACAAAAGAAAGGACATTTTAGGTTCCAGCAGAAAAGCATTAACCATTGGGAAATCCAGTTTGTCCAGCTACACCTCTGATTTCCTGGTAGTATTTCTGCCATGCATCTGTGGATTCATATGTGGGATTCCTCATTACATACAGCAGATGTGTCTCAATTCCTACCATTTGACCCAGTTATACCACTCTTTGGCATATGCCCAAAGAACTCATTCTATTGCAGAGACACTTGTACATCCATGTTTATTGCTGCTTTTTTCAGAATAGCTAAGAGATGGAAGCAACCTAAGTGTCCCTCAATTGTTGAGGCAATAATGAAAATGTGGTTCAATTATATGATGGAGTTTTACTGAGCAGTGAAGAAAGATGAAATCATGAAATTTGCAGGTAAAAAGGATAGATCTAGAAAGTGTTATCCTAAGTGAAGTAACACAGACTCAGAAAAAAAATCAACACATGTTCTCCCTCATATGTGGATCCTAGAACCAGACTCTGATAAATAAGCATGCAACCAGACATAACTACAGAAATCAGGACAATGGAAAGGAAACAGGGAGGTAAAGGAAAAGAAAGAATCGAAAAGAGAAGAACAGTAGGAAAAAGGCCTTTATAAGGGAGATATGGATTAAAAATTGGATTAATTTAAGGAGGGGTGAGGGAAGGGTATACAAGGAACCTAGGGGATAAAGGAAAAGAAGGAGCTCAAGAGAGGTAGGACCATAGGAGAAGGGTATTAGTAAGGGAAGAAGGGAGGAAATGGAGGCACCTTAAGTGGGAAAACTATGATGGATGGGCGAGACAATGTGAGAGATAAACAATGCCTAGCTAGTTTTGAAAACCAGAGGGAACCATATTACGCCTACACCCTAGTGACAAGTTATACATACCAGATCAAGAAATATATGTCTAGGTACGGTTTATCTGAGAACAACTAATCTTTGCCCAAGATTTATCTACATGACACATAGTAATTAAAAATACCAGACTGGTGGAACTAACCTTCTTGTGTGTTTAACAGACATATTTGAGGCCTATTATGATTTGGTCAGAGGGACATAAAGGACACTTTTTGCTCCTAGCCCTCCTAGGTCGACTAGTTCCAGGGGACAAGGAGCATCTCTCAAAATGTCCTATAATGGTGGTGGGTGACATGTCCTCTTGATCAAGTAGGCTGAGGAGACCCCACCAGATGGACTTGAACCAGTGTCCAGTCTACAAAGAGGAGAATCAACACAGAGGAATCATTTCCTTCATGCTTCCAAGCGAAGCCAGCCATGGTCAAGCAGGACCTTTGCCTTATCTTCACATAAGCGGAAGAAAAGCCTGAGGAGCCAGGAGCTCCTCCCAAGTCCATGTGACCACTGAGGAACAGATCCTCACACAACCTTAAGAGTAAAAATAAATTGGTTTATCTGGTCCAACTCTACAGCCTTAAACACCCAAAAGGAAAGTATAAACAAAGATTAAAGGGGCCAATATAATTTCATAAGAGTCCATCCATATGCATAGCTAAAGGCTATATAATAAGCAACAATGCCAGATAGGCAATACCTTCTTTTGAGTTGTTGGCCAGGGTGGCCAAAGGGATTCCCAGATAGTAACCCAGGATTGATTGGAAAATGAACAGAAGACCCCAATCTTATCCAAAGGAATATTGATAACTGATTACCACTAGATGAGGAACAGCTGATTCTCCTAAAACAAAGACCTCTAGATAGGCTGACTAGATTTGCCAGAAGGGCAAGTAGTGGGGAATGGCTGGGGTGCTGACAACACAGCAGACATTAGCAGGGATATCAGAGTATAAGGGATCTAATTGGGGGGAGAGAGGCTATGGGAGGGTGCTATCTGGGAAATGGGTGTAAAAAAAATAAATGTTTTAAAAAATTTAAAAAAT